CGTGTGAGGGCGGCGTCGGGTCAGGAGACAGAGGAGGGGACACAGGAGGGGAACGAGGGGGAAGACGAGCCGGGGACGAGTCTGGCAGAGGGAACACGGGGCCGTAGACGGGAAGAGGGGGAGAGAGCAGGAGAGGAGAAGGCGCAGGGTCAGTAGACGGAAGGCCGAGCAGACGGAGGGCGGACACAGGCGGGGACTGCTGCTGCGGCGACACAACACCAACACCAGGGCCACAAGCTGCGCGACGGCTACCTCCCGAACCCTCCACACCTGCACCCCCAGAAGGGACACCCCCAGAGTCCACAAACGGCGGCAGCGACGACGGCGGCGGCGGCGGCGGCGGCTGCAGCGACGGCTGCGACGGCGGCGGCGGCGGAGACGACGGCTGCAACGGCGGCGGCGGTGGAGACGACGGCTGCAGCAGCTGCGGCGACGGCGGCTGCGGAGGCGGTGGAGGAGGAGACACCGGGGGAGGGACAGACGGCGAGGACTGCGCCGGAGGACTACCAGAGTCAGAAGACTCGTCGACCGGGACGACCGACGGGAGGGGGGTGACGTGAGACACACCAGAGGGGGCCGGACGGGGGGGCGGGGGGGGGGGAGGGGCAGGGACCACCAGGGAGGGAGGAACCAGGAAAAGGGGGGGAGTAACCGGGGGACCACGGTGGGGAAAGCGGCGGTAGAAGGAGACGGACTCGTCAAAGGTGACGTCGCGAGAGTGAAAGAAGCGGTGAGACGGCGGGTGGTAGAAGTGCCAGTCGGACGCGTCAAGGGGGAAACCGAGGAAGACGCAGGGGAGGGTGCGGGCAGTGAGCTTGTCCGTGCCAGAGGCACGAACGTGAGCAAGGCAGCCCCAGACGCGGAACGCAGACGCGTCACCAGGGGACCCGGTCCACAGAAGGGTCGGCGAAACCTGCGGCCGCTGGGGGTGCGGCCACAGGTTAAGCTGGTGAGCGGCGTAGCGCACGGCGAACGGCCACAGAAAATGGGGTGCACCGGCGTGGATCATGGAGGTGCGAGCCACCTCCATGACCAAACCGATGCGTCGCTCAGCGACCCCATTCTGCTGCGGGGAGTCCGGCAGGGTAAACGTCTGGGTGATGCCCTCCGCACGACAGAAGCGACCAAGGACACCTGAGGCAAACTCGCCACCCCCGGTCGGAGTGAAGGCGCAAGGCAGGGAGACCGCGGTGGACACGAGCAGAGACAAGCCAGGGGATGAGAACGTCAGGCACGTCGGCCTTCCGCTCCAGGGGGAAGACGGTGGTGTAGCGCGTGAAGTCGTCGACAAGCACTAGGAAGAAGCGCTCGCGACGCGGCCCATGGACCGGGGCTGGGCCCCAGACGTCCATGTGCAGAGTCTGCAGTGGTGCGGTGGTAGGGGGAAAAGAGGAGGAGTGAGGGGCACGGCGGAGCCGGCCCTCGACACAAGGCGTGCACGGTGGGGCGGGGGAGGAGGGAAACTCGGGGAACGAACCGGGGAGACCAAGGACGAGACCGTGCTGGGACATGTGACGCAGACGTGGGAGTGCAGGGTGACCAAGGCGGTGGTGCCAAAGGAGAGTCGGGTGAGTGAGGGACTGACAGGAGCACGCGGCTGCAACCTGGGTGGACGCAGCTACCGGGGGGGAAGACCCAGCCGGGGACGGCGCGGTGTCAAGTGTGAACAGGCCGGACACCGGGTCCCGGGGGAAAGTGGTAAGGGGGGCACCAGTGGCGGCCTCGGTACAGACAGCATACCGCTCGTGACCAGGGAACGTAGTGGTGACGCCAAGGTCCTGGAGGCAGCCGACACCAACTAGGTTCCTGGAGAACGAGGGGATATGCAGACCTGTGAGAGTGCCCGAAGGAACCGCCGGACAGGGAAGGGAGGTGGAACTGCGGGCAACGACGGGACCACCGGAGGGGTCAGCAAGAGTAACTGCAGCGGGAACAGGCAGCGGCGTCAGCGTCGTGGAGTCGCGGAAGAAACACCGGGAGGCGCCAGAGTCCAAGGTGAAGGAAAGCGCAGCAGTCGCGCGAGGCAGCAGTGAAGCGGTGGAAGCACCAAGGCTAAGCAAAGCAGGAGATCCTACGCCTGACGCAGCAGGGGAGTCTACGCTAGGCACCGCTACACTAGGCAACACGGGGTAATAAGAGGGAAGCACACTAGAGTCATCAGCATACATCACATGCAAGGCCGCTACAATGGCATCCATGTCCAAGTCAAAAATCCTAATGCTACGCCTAAGCAAGCTGTGCCAGTCAGGGAGGTCGGGCGCCGGGCAAAAGCGCTGACGGAACAGGTCGTCCAGGCGACGAAAACAGCGAGGAGTAGAATGACCGATCTTACCGCAAACGAAGCCGCGGTGAGGACCGGTCTGGAGCTGGTACTGACAGGGCCCGCCTCCAGAACCACCACCCGGTGCACCACCACGCACACGACCACCACCAGCTCCAGGCCACCCAGGTGGGAGAGTACTCGCCTGCCTCGTCTGCGGCGGCTGCTGCGGCTGCTGCGAAGGCTGCGGCTGCGGCGACTGCTGCTGCTGCGGCTGCTGGAACTGTGGAGGCAGCGGGGCAGCTGGACCGGGCAGGGTCCCCACGTCCGCACCGGCACCGGACGACCCGCCTCCACCACTACCCCCACGCGCACCCCCGCCGCCTCCGCCGCTCCCAACCTTGGGGCGGCGGCCCTTCGCCGAGCGGGACTGCACTGCAGCAGCAGTCTCAGCCACAGCGACAGAGCCGTCGGAGAAGGTACACTGAGCGGGGGCACAACCCTGAAAGATAGGGACCGGTACTGTACCGCTCGCCAGGGCTATGGAGCGGTGACGAGTCTCTATGGCAGTCAGGGTGTCAACAAAGTCGGTGAGGGTGAGAGCAGCAGGGTGGATGCTAAGGAACTGGTCGCGGGCAGCGGCAAGGCGGTCAGGTAGGCGGGTGGCAAGGAGGTAGAGGGTAGAGGTCATGGGAGGCTGGTGGACTCTAAGCTGAGCATCTGTGCAGGCAGCGCGCCAGGCCTCATCTATCGAGCGCAGGTGGGCAGCGAGGTCAGAGACAGTGGGGAAAGACGCCAGGTCAGGAAAGAGCAGGGGAAGGATCAGGCGACCCACTGAGGCAGCAGGAGGGGTAGAATAGCGCTGGATGACAGCATCGAGGTAGGCCTGGGCGGTAGGAATGGTTCTAAAGCGAGGGCGCTCAGTGGGGGGGAGGGCATTGCTAATGGCGAGCTGAGCAAGGGCATCGCGGGAAAGCCAGACAGAGCGGGCAAGGGCAGCAGCGGCAGTGGACTCGCGCTCAGCGGGCGTGGGATCAGCGGGCAGCACAGCAGGGGGGTCAGGGCAGGGGAGCATACCGTCTAGGTGTGCAGAAAGCGGGTGGCCGTCCTGCCGCTGGCCAGTGAGGTGGCGGCGAAGGTCAGCCAACCACGCCTCGAACTCCAGAGGCTGACCCTCAACATCAAAACGAAGCTCAGCAGCCATGAGGGGCAGTGGAGGACAGTGCAGTGCGGTGCAGTGCGATGCAGTGCGGTGCAGTGCGGTCCAGTGCGGTGCAGTGCGATGCAGTGCGGTGCAGTGCGGTCCAGTGCGGTGCAGTGCGATGCAGTGCGGTGCAGTGCGGTCCAGTGCGGTGCAGTGCGGTCAGTGCGATCCAGTGAGGTGCAATGCGATGCAAGGCGGGGCAGGAAAGTGCAGGAGGGTGCAAAGTGGTGCGGGGAACGGGGGACAGTACCAGGAAGTATGGAGGGCCGGGGCAGGTGCGTCGGGGCCGGGCAGGCACGACAAGGCCGGGCGGCGGCGACGGGGCCGGGCGGCGGCGACGGGGCCGGGCGGCAGCGACAAGGCCGGGCGGCTGCGGCGTGGCCGGGCGGCTGCGACGGGGCCGGGCGGCTGCGACGGGGCCGGGCGGCAGGGACGAGGCCGGGCCGGACACAGCAGGGCCGGGCAGGGGCGACGGGGCCGGGCGGTTGCGACGTGGCCGGGCGGCTGCGACGTGGCCGGGCGGCTGCGACGGGGCCGGGCGGGCGAGCAGGGGCCGGGCAGGTGCGACAGGGGCCGGGCGGGCGCCACGCGGCCGATAGGCCGCGACGGGGCCGAGCAGGGGCGACGGTGCCGAGCAGGGGCGACGGGGCCGAGCAGGGGCGACGGGGATGGGTAGGGGCGCGACGGGGCCTGGAGGGGCGTTACCAAGCCCAGGTAGGGGCGCGACGGGGCCTGGGGGGAGCGCAATGGGGCCCAGGAGGGGCGCTACGGGGCCTGGGAGGAGCGCGACTGGGCTAGGGAGGGGCGCGACGGGGCCTGGAAGGAGCGCAATGGGGCCCAGGAGGGGCGCTACGGGGCCTGGGAGGAGCGCGACGGGGCCCTGGAGGGGCGCTACCAGGCCCTGGAAGGGGCGCGACGGGGCCTGGAGGGGCGCTACGAAGCCCTGAAAGGGGCGCGACGGGGCCTGGAGGGGCGCTACGAAGCCCTGGAAGGGGCGCGACGGGGCCTGGGAGGAGCGCAATGGGGCCCAGGAGGGGCGCTACGGGGCCTGGGAGGAGCGCGACGGGGCCCTGGAGGGGCGCTACCAGGCCCTGGAAGGGGCGCGACGGGGCCTGGAGGGGCGCTACGAAGCCCTGAAAGGGGCGCGACGGGGCCTGGAGGGGCGCTACGAAGCCCTGGAAGGGGCGCGACGGGGCCTGGGAGGAGCGCAATGGGGCCCAGGAGGGGCGCTACGAGGCCTGGGAGGAGCGCGACGGGGCCCAGAAAGGGGCGCAACGGGGCCCAGGAAGGGGCGCGACGGGGCTAGGGAGGGTCGCGACGGGGCTAGGGAGGGTCGCGACGGGGCTAGGAGCACGACGGGGCCCAGCTAGGGGGCGAGCAGAAGCGTGAGGGGGGGGGGGGGGGGGGGGGGGGGGGGGGGATCCTACCTACGCGTGATACCATATCAAACAGTGAAATTGATGAATAGAGAGAGAGAGTACACAAACATATACCTAACTGTTGTACTCTCTAGAAGATGACCCTATACAGTCTATACAAGCATGATAACTAAACATGTTTGACAGTAGGTCCCATCCGTTGAGGTTCCGCGAACCGCCTTTACAACGAGCATCGAGTTTCGCTCGAGAGCTGAAATATACATTTTTTTTTCCTGAAATCCGTAAAATTGTTTTTTCGTATAAGCCCCGGGGCTTATATTAAAAAATTCGATTATGAGACCCACCAGGAAAAAAGCTATTCGCCCTAAACTCTCCTAGGGTCGTATATCCGGGGGATTACGGTAGCAAAGATATGTTTGTTAGTTGATAGTTATCCCCTGCGTTGAGGGGCTTCCACATGGTTACCCTGAACTCCACTGCGAAGGAAAGAACAAGGCACATAATGCAGCACAAGGAGAGCAAGCGGGGAGTGGGTACGGGTGACGTGCGGGATGCTCAAGCTAGCAATTGGATGCTAAGGGTGCAGGCAAGCGGCACACGGCGGAGGAGTGGATGGGCGTGGCATGGCATGCGAAGCAATCACAAACACATCCAAGGCAACTGCCAGGCATAATTTGAAGTAAAGCGTGAGGGCCTGTGCAGCCAGGCAGGCATGCGTGAGGGGCACCTCTTTGGCGATCTCATCCTCCCTGGACGGCCCCTGTGGCTTGGCAGCAGCAGCCGCCATGGCAGTGCGCGCCGCCCTCCCCTGCGCTGAACTCTCAAAGCGCGCCGCCCTGGGGGGGAGAGGGGGGGAATCAGGCGATCAAGCAATGGGTGGATGGAATGACTGGGTGGATGGCATGACTGGGTGGATGGCATGACTGGGTGGATGGCATGGCTGGGTGGATGGCATGACTGGGTGGATGGCATGACTGGGTGGATGGCATGACTGGGTGGATGGCATGACTGGGTGGATGGCATGACATCAGCATCAGCTGAAGCATTCTGTAGGGCAGTCCAAGCCCGACCAACTGTTCCTTGCCCGTCTGAGCTGCTGCTTCTTCCACTCTCTAGTGGAAGAAACAGAAGCTCCATATCAGAGCAAGCAAGTGTTGTGCCAGCCACGCACATCTGATTGTCCAACACACACCATCTTGCGAAGGGAGACCTCACTCCCATGGTGCCTGTCTACAAGAATGGCCTTGCGAGGTAACAGAAGCGCGTGCGGGCGCCCCTCACAAGCATCTTGAACGCGGCAGGCGGGCCTTCCCAGGACGTCCTCTTCGCTCGTGGGAGGGCAGTACTCCATGTCATGCAATACCATCCCCCATCTCGCTGCACCAACGTGTTCCACACTGCCCCCACCCTCATTGGCTCACATCAAACAACCCCCCTCGTCTCTCTCCCACCCCCCCTCTCCCCCTATTCACTGCCCCTTTCCTCTCCCATCCCCGCTTCCCCCCCTCCCCCCCTCCCATCCCTTCCCATTTCGCATTCCCCCCCTCCTTCAACCTCCCGCACCTGTCCCGTCCCCGCTGCCCGCCTCCCCTTCTTCTCCCCCCCCCCCCCCCCCCTCTCCCCCCCCCCTCCCGCTCCTCCCTCTCCCAGTCCCCTACGCCTATATTCCGATCTCCCCGCCCGCCCACCTCTCCTCCGCGGCCTGCGCCGCCCTGCCCCGGGCGTGCGCCACCTCCTGTCTCTCCGCGTCCGTCAGCGGGCGCTCGCCGCGCGGATAGCAGCAGTCGCAGCACGACAGCAGCGCGCCCATGGGGGAACGGCTGCGGGGGATGGCGGAGGGGAGTAAAGGGATGGCGGTGGGGAGTAAAGGGATGGCGGTGGGGAGTAAAAGGATGGCGGTGGGGAGTAAAGGGATGGAGAAAGAGACAGCGGGTGGGGCGAGAGGAAGCGAGGGACGGGCTGGATGGAGGGGACGAGAGAGGGAGAGAGGGGAGGGGAGAATGGAGAAAGAAAAAGGAAATCAGGTGGGAAGGGAGAGACGTGGAAAGCAAGGAGAGGAGCCTGACCAAGCGATGGGGACAGCAGCAGCAGCGCGAGGGTGACGCGCGCTGTATTCCTTGACGCCTCCGACGCCGGGGACTCGTCCACCTCGACTCGTCCACCTGGAAGCCTTCGAGCGACGCAGTCCACCGCATTCGCTCTCGCGTCGTGCCGCCGCCGCGCGCTATGCGCGAAAGCGAGGGAGAGTGGAGCGAGCGCGCGCGGCTGCTGCGGGGAATGGGGGCATTGATCGAACGTGAGGGGGGAGTTGGGGGAATTTAGGAAAGATTGTCGTGCCTGTCGTGTCACAACCTCCATGCCTCTAAATGGAGTTGTACACTCGACGCAACACACTCCGAGGCGTTATATAAGGAAACAATTTCTTATCCTGGGTTTTGTTCCGTGAAGCTTACACTGCAATAAAGGGATTCCCGCGTTTTTTATCACGTTCATCCTAGCCGCGCTGCCCAATGTGGCCTATCCCCAGCCACATGCACATTGATGTGTTTTTCACATTTCGTGTTCGTCGAGTGCGCTCCAAGCCCATTTTTCCGCCACACGTCCGAGTCGTGCAGTGTTAACAAGAACGAATGAATAGAAACAAGGGTGAACAAGAGAGTTATAGTGTAGGAGTTGTACCCTCTAACAACATACACCTATCTAGCCTATAACTTCTACATATTAACATATGTATAAGTTCACACACCCCCTAGGCTCGATAAGGGGTAGTGTAGAGGAATAAACACACAGCTCAGGGTGGCACTACTAGTCCAACCTCTGAGGCAGGGATCCAAAGACCAGTTACCAAGGATACAAAAACAAGACAAGAGCAAACCAGGACGGCACTATTTGTCCGACCACCGGAAGAGTAGCCACAAGGCCAGTCTAAAAGACCAAAATATATGTATGAGTACACAATCGAGGTGCTAGCAAGTGAGAGTCTACAGGAACTAGACCTAGCTGTAAGCAGTGCTGCTGATGATCTTTAGGCGCAAGCGCCTTAGTAAAGATATCAGCTGTGTTGGCACCGGAGGCCAAGTGTACTACGCGAGCCTGGCGACGCTGCTGTAGCTCGCGCAGGAGGACGTATCGCAGCTGGATGTGCTTCGCTCTGCCCTCCAGTCGAGGCTCCTGACACAGGAGGATCATGGCCCTATTGTCAGCGTACAGAACCGGGGCAGACCTAGACCGCTCACCTAAGTCGGCAAGCAAGAAGGTCAGCCAGCAGAGCTCCTGTGCCGCCATGGCACTAGCGTAGATCTCAACCTCACAGCTAGACTGGGCGACAGACGAGGAACGAGTGGACGTCCACGAGATGGCACCTAAACCAAGGCTAAAGCAGTAGCCCTGGGAGGACCTGAGGGTCTCAGCGTCGTCTGCCCAAGAAGCGTCTGTGTGCTCAGTAAGGACCACTGGCCTACGTCCTCCTAGCACTAGCCCCATGCCCGATGTACTCGCAAGATAACGCAAAACCCTCTTAGCGGCCGACCAGTGGTGTGGTTGGTGTCTGCCTGTGGCCACAAAGCGAGCCAGGATGCTGAAAGGGTATGCAAGATCTGGACGAGTGCAATTCATCATGTACATGAGGCAGCCGACCAGCTCTGCGTAAGGACCACTAGGCTCTGCTGACTCCTCCGGAACTGGAACTGAGAGCATGTGGTCTACTGGCAGAGGTGTGGGCTGTGCGGAGGAGAACTCAAGACCGAACCTCTAAAGGACCTGGCGCACCAAGTGTGACTGTGTGAGAGTGATGGTGCGCGCTGCTCTGTCCTTGGAGATCTATATGCCAAGGTAGCGGCGCAGCTCTCCTAGGTCAGTGCAGGTGTGTCTCCTCAACAGCTCGGCCTTCACGGAGGCCAGTGCATCTCTGTATGCAGTAGCGAAGACCAGGTCGTCTACGTAGACAAGAATGTAGAACGGAGTCTGGTCAGCACGAACGAAAAGCGACGGGTGTGAGAGTATGACCTCGTTCCATTCTTTTCTCCTTTCCATATTCCCTTTCCATTTCACTCCTCTTTTTATCTTGATCCATTTGGCTTTTATCTCATTCCATTTGGATTCCTATTCATCATTTTCCATAAGCCTTTGGTTTATCATATTATTATCATTATATCACCGACCAGGCTTGGGGTGTATTGGTGCGCTATATCGAGCAGAATCCTGCCGTAATCCCTTAAAGCCAATAGCCTCGCATGGCTATACGCAGGGTGATTCTATTTTCTAAAAGGGTCTATTCCCTTAGGATAGGATAAACCTGGTTACATGATGTACTTTGGAAGTATAAAAGCGCCTTAGACTGATCGATAGTGCCATCTTTCTTCGACACATTCGATCCTGTAACACTTGGTAATCAGAGCTTTTCTCACTCGGCCGCGCTCAACAAAGCAGCAGCAGGGGGAAAACCTGCCTTGGAAAACCGCCGGGGGCGACGAATTTGGCCCCGATTCTGGTAAGCACCAGCGCCGCGTTTTGTGAAGTATCCCCCCCACGCGTGTTTTGAACATGATGGCGACCTTCGACAACGCCGAGGTTACCCAGCAGCTCTTCGCGAGCATCGCAACCCTTCAGGAGGAGATGCCAGTGGATCGCGAAGCGTGGCGAAACGAGTTCGAGCGAGTAACTCGAGACGCCGGAGCGCAGCACGACTCGTTAACGGCGACGACGCAGCAGTTTCTCGAGGCTCTGAAACCGCGCCCACCTGAGCCATTCGATCCAAGCGATCGAAAATCCGACATCCGCAGATGGATCGCCAGCATGGAGATCTACTTCACTGCCGTTGGATGGAGCTCGCCAGTCTGGGACGGTCAACGCGTACGACTCGCGGCGACACTGATGCGAGGACCGGCACTCGGGTGGATCGGTGGTAACAACACCTTCATCCACGGCGAAGCCACGTGGCAGCAGTTTCGCACCGACCTGCTGAAACGCTTCGAGCCAATTAATTCAGGTTTCCTTGTCCGGGAAAAAAATCATCGACATCGATAGTTCGGGAGTGTAGCACAGTACACGCAGCAGATGGAAGAATTTTATAACCGTATTCCCGATCTGACCGAAGGGGAAAAAGTACAGTCGTACCTCGTCGGGCTGAAGACCGAAGTCAAACGACAAGTGGCGGCGACAAACTACGCGAGCTACAGTGACGTCGTTTTGGCAGCAGAGCGCTTCGACATGGTCAACGCCGGGATACGACGGGCGCACGTTGACAGTATGCGACAGGGCGAGCGCTCGGCTCACACCACGTTCGCCGACCCGATGGAAATCGACAGGTTCGACGGGCAGCCACGTCCGAAAAACACCAACTACACGTGTGATTTTTGCGGGGTGCCGGGCCATCGAATCTTCAACTGCAGCAAAATAAAAGCCGCACGCGCAGAGTATCGGGCACGCAACAGTGGCGGAAATCCTTCGGACAATCAGAAGACAAAAAGGGAGTCGCCAGTGATTGCGGATCTAGCTGGCGAAAAAGAAAAGATCCGGAAGCGGCCGCGGGATTATGGAAAAATCAACTTCGACGAAGCTGATTCGACGCGAGCAGGAGGAAATGATCAGGGAAAATCTCCACCCCAAGACAAGTCTTCGCCAGGGAAAATAGCCGAGAAAAAATCTGACTCCACGAAAAAAAGACTCTGCCAAGACGGGGAAACTCCTTGAAGACCCAAGAAATTTTAAGGATTCGTTAAAGTTATCTTATAAAGATGCTTTAATGAAAGCTTGTAATTCTCGAGGGGCTAGAGCCTTCGAGAAAATTCGGGAGGGACTCTAGAAGAAGCAGAAAGCTGTGGAGATTATACTGGTACCGGACAACTTGGGGAAAAAATTATGGAGTGTGGAAATAAGCCGACCTTTCCAGGAGTCAACGTCCTCTCCCGACACCAGCCCACCGCGACTACCCATTCCCCAAGGAAGACGTCGGTGGAGCTGAATCAGCCCAAGAGGAAGCTGGGGGTCTACAAGAAGCTGCAAAAACCCCGAACTCCTTCTTCGGATGCATCCAACTCGGCAACTTCGTCAACGACACCAACAGTCGTCACGGAAACTCCGGGCCCTGGAGAAGAGCCTTTCTCCAAGCAGCCTCGGCGAGCTGCCAGCTCAGGAGTAGGAAGCAACGAATATTGGGATGTACCCTATGACCCAATCAATGAAACTATCTTTGGGTACTCCGAGCAACGCCTGCCCCTTGTGCTCGAGGTCATCTGCAAAGGACGACGCCTCCAAGCACTTGTGGACAGCGGAGCATCGCACACCATCTGCGACAAGGCAGTAATCGACCGATTTCGGGAAGAGTACAAGCCATCAGCATTTTTTGCAACGATGGTGGACAGCAGCAAGTTACCAGTGTTCCGCGAAGCAGCGTTACACCTACAAATCGGACCACTGCGCGGGAAACCTACTCTCCCCATCACCAACATAGAAGGGCTTGACTTGATCTTTGGGCGAGACTTCCTAAAACGATTCAATCCCAAGATCAACTGGGTAAACTGCACCGCAAACATCTACAACAAAGGAAGGAGAGTCCAACTACCCAACTGGGACGATACAGGAGATATCCCAGTGGAGGCACTCGCTAGGTTCGAGAAGGATGTGAAAAGAACCAACACCGTGTTCCTGGCGTTAGCAAGAGACGTGGCAAGGGATGAGGAGCAGACCTCGGAACCTCCAAGAGAAATCAAGGAAATCCTGAAGGAGTTCCAAGACATTCTTCCCGACGACCTCCCGGATGAGCTACCGCCATACCGAACGCACCAACATGAGATCGTGGAGGAACCAGGTTCGAAGCCGACCTTCCGAGCACCATATCGGCTCAGTCCCACAGAACTAGCCGACATGAAGAAGCAGATCGAGTATCTCCTCACCAAAGGACTCATCCGACCATCCACTTCACCATACGGTGCCCCATTACTCTTCACACCGAAACCAGAAGGAAGCCTGCACATGTGCATCGACTACCGAGCTCTCAACAAGCAGACCATCAAGAACAAGTACCCGATTCCACGAATCGATGATCTGCTCGACCAGCACGTACGTGGAAAACACCCAAGAACGTGAAGGAGTTACAACAATTCCTTGGCTTCGCTAACTACTACAACAGGTTCGTGCCATAACACACGAAAATCGCCACGCCACTCACGAATCTGCTGAAGAAGAACACGCCCTATAAATGGGAGCCACAACACCAGGAAGCCGTGGAGCAGCTGAAGCAAGCACTCACGTCCACACCCGTCCTCATCTTGCCAGAACCCGAACGCGACTACATTATCGAAGCTGACGCCTGCGACGAGGCA